TGAGTTGATCGCCACCCTGCTTGTTGCTGTCGCATTCGGCGTTTCTCCGTATGGGAAATAGCGAAGTCTGAAACGTGTAACTATCAATATCGATATATCCAGATAGCAGAGTTGATATCTATATATCGTACTCAAATACGCAGGTCTGCTGCCGACTCCACAGCACCTCCTTTGCCAATGATGCATCGTGCAGGTCGAGAATTCTTCGCAAATAGGGTTGGACGGCTATGTGAAAGGAAGGTTGGCAGTAACGATCCAGCTGACTGTCAACTCCTTGGCTTTATTAACATTGCATCTTGTAGCAGGCAGCTCGCTCAGAGGACCGAGAAATGTACATGAACTGTACCCCCATTCTCGTGACTGGTTCCGGCGGCTCCGGGTCGGGGAACTACACATGGGTACCATGCTCAGTGCCGCAGCCGTTGTTGATGCTGGTCTCAAACATGTCTGGCAGGCTATCCAGATGGCTCTGGGAGCCACCGGAACCAATCACGAGAATGGGGTACAGTTCATGTACATTTCTCGGTCCTCGAAACGACGCTGCGTGGAGCTGCCTGCTACAAGATTCGCATTGTTACTATGCTCAGTGCTGCAGCTATTGTTGATCTTGGCCTCAAACATGCCTGGCAGGTTCAGGTCCAGGCTCTATTCCTACTCGGTTTTAGCCGCCATCCAAAGCAGCCATGGCCGGTAAGCTTGGCAATGTACATAGTGCCCTTGGCGGGGGTGGGATGGCCGGTAAGCTTGGCAATGTACATAGTGCCCTTGGCGGTGATGAGGATCTTGGTCTGAGGCTGGGCCGGGGCCAGGGCGGTGATATTTTTGGCCACGGTCTTGTTATCGTTGTTCTTGTTGCAGCCGCTGAATGCGCTGGCTGCTGCCGCAAAGGCGACGAGAAGCCTTGTCAGCATGGTGGTTGACTAGAGATCTGCGATGGTCACCAGTTGCGTTTCCAGAAGCAAGATGCGAATGATAGCAAGAAGGATGGAAATGGGTCAAAAATGGAACGAGGTTTCTCACAAACCCTGTGTCAGACGCAGTGAGGCTCTTAACTACAAGAGCACAGCAGCATGGATGCAATGCATGGATGCAATGCATGAGGAAGCGGAACGCATTTTCTTGGTCGTTCCGGCATCCACAAGTGTGATAATAAACATGAAACTACACAATGACTCAGATATACCTCATCAAATCATATTACGGGACTTGATTGTGTCAATCTAAGTGTGCGACGATGGACATGGGTCGCTATGTTATGCAGGATCCCATTCTCCCGTCAAAGAAACCAAAAGGGCCCCTGCAATTGGCCAGGGTCGATGAGATGCAGGAC